ATATATATATATATATATATATATATATTATTGTTATATTTCATAAATCAACAATAATTGTTTTTATTAATATGTATTTTTAACAATATTTTCAATATTTTTTAAATATTCATATATATTATATGAAAATTATATCTATAAGTACATTTAATACATTAACCTAAAATTAAACTGAATAAATAAAAGAAATATTAGAGACATTCAATACTATCAATTACACAATTTTTATACTTAGTGTAACAATTTAATAGTATATAATCTCTCTATAATCAAAGTTTTATCTATAGTTTAATATAATATAAAATAGTAACTGTAATGGCTTAAATTGAAATAATGTCTCACACTAGATGATATAATAGTTCATATATGAAATTATTAGCTCTTGAGAATTGTTTAAAAATATATTCTTGCTTGTCTTGTTTTTTCATTTCATTTCATATTTCTTTTATATTATTCTTTGTGAAATTCTTTCTTGATATATTTCATTTTATATGTTTTATTTATATGCCCAATTTGAAAAAAGATAAAAAACTTTATTTAAAATTTTTAAGTACATACATATATTATGTTTGTTTTATAACTTATAATTAGATAATTTGTTAATTGAAATTATTATTTGAAATATTATTTTTAAATCCTGAAAAATTTGAATAAAAATAATATTATATTATTATATTTTTATAAATTTTATATTTGTACTATACTTATATTTGTTAGAAATATTTAAGAGAAATTTATTATATTAAATTCGTTCATAATTATTAAATTATTTGAATTAATAGTTAATTATGTATATTCTCATAGCAAAAATTTTTTTTAATATTTCTTATTATATAATTTTTTTTATATATTTGTATTTGTAAATAATTTCATCTTATATAAAAAATCTAATACAAAATTTATATATAGTATTTGAAAAATATATAAAATATATGAATATATACGAAATATGTCTTTAAATATAAATACAAATAGAAGAAAATATATATATTATATGTTTGAATTATTATATGTATATATGTATTTTTAATTAAGTAATATATTGAGTTTTGTTAGTTGTTCTAGAATAATATTTTTATGATAAAACATTCGTTTTTTATAATAAAACAATTTTCGATGACGATTTTTTTTCTCTATTAATAAAGAATTAAATTATTAATAATAAATCTATAATAATAACAAAATAAAAATATTTTAAATTGAAAATTATTTTAAATTATATTAAATATTTAAAATGTCATTATTTTATAAGCCTTATATTTTAAAGCCTTAATGTACTTTCTATTTATGTAAATACGAATAAAGAATATTTATGGTTGAACAAATTGGGCATTGCATCTGTTGATAGCGTAATAAATTAGAGATTGATTTGAAAAAATGAAAGTCACAAGAGTAGAACCAATATTATATTAAATACTCTACATTTCAAATATTGAATAAAATAATTTTTAATCTAGAAAAAAATGAAAAGATAATTTATTTTTCTAAGAAGCTTATTTTAAAATTTATTTCTAAAACATAAAAATCAAATAGATTTTAAGATTTGTTTTTGTTTAATTATTTTTCTTTTTTTCTTAATTTAACGATAATTCAAAGAATAGAGAAAATTTTTTTCAAAATATTTAGCATGATTAATTAAAATGCATGTAAAAAAAATGTAAAAATGCATTGTGTAGGAAGAAAATACATTAAGTGATGATAAAGCCATTTTTCTGAATCATTAATGTTCAGTTTATTCTTCAGAATATTTACTGAATTTTATTAACGGTTCGTATATATCAAAACAAAATTTATTTATTGTTTTTGTTATTATTATTATTATTATTATTTGGATGTTAATTGGTCAGTGTGAAACATCAAGGTTAATATATATCGTGACAAATAAGAAGACAAATGGTCCCCAACGTTATTGATTTAATATTGAAGAATTGAGAAATATTTTCGGAATTCAATATCAAACGAATATCTTTTTTAGATTGTCTATGTTTGTCGCATTTGAATATTCTTACAACTTTTAAACTAATAATTGTAAATAAATAAACGATTATAAAGGATGAATTCTTTCTTGCCTTCATAACAATGCTATTATTTTTATTGCGATTTCTAATGTTTTTTCAATTTCAATCCTTTTTTTTATAATGATCAAATGAATTGTAATTCTCCTCCATAAAAAGAATAAAAAAGAATTAAAAATATTAACATAATTTAATATAATAATTAGATGGAATAATTAAAAGTAAAATTAAGTAGCATCACTTTAAATGTTTTTATATAATAAAATAAATAGATGTTAAAAATCATTAATTAAAAAGCCCAGTATAAATCATTAAGTAAAAAATGAGATTCTTTAAAAGCAATGATTATAAATTTAATTGATTTAAAATAATAGGAAAAAGTTGTTAATAATAATAATCGAAGTAAAATTGGGATATTTTAATACTTTTGGACATGATTGAATAACGAAGTATATAGAAAGAGAGGGAGAAAAGATAAATTCAAAATACAAAATCTTAACTCAAATGGTTTTCAGAAAAATATCCTAAAATTGATTTAAAAATATCTAATAATCCAAAATTTTAACTTATTTATAATCATTTTATAAATATATTATAAACGATTGTGTGTGTAGCTTAGTTAAGCAAATAGCAAGAATAATATTTCTGCAGTTTCCAAGCTATTGGTTAGAAGTTAGTCGATAATAGACACTCGACCCAAAAGAAACGTATTTTCCCTACATTCCATCGCACTTTACTTTTAAATAAATCTTCGCCTGTTCACGTAAATATCTCGCGTGCATGCAAACGCTACTTAGAAGCTTTCATTTTCACTCAGTCGTCATATTATCTATGAAAAATACATGATAAGTTGGTCTTTGTTTTACTTTTGTATATTTATAAATTTAAATTAGTTCGTTTGCAATGATGTCGCAAAAAAATTCTGTGGAAAGTTAAAACAATGAAAAATTACGTAGGAAGTGATAAATAATAGATGATTTTGTTAATTGAAAATTTATAAATATTTATATAACATCTTTTTTTGTATGCATGTTATATTAATTTGAATTTTACTATTTTTAGATTAATTATTTTTTAGCTTAATTGAAAATTAAGTAATAAGTATATTAAAAAAAAAATAAAATATAAAAAATAATATAAAAAAAATTTAAGTTTTTTTAAGCGATAATTGCTTTAATTTAATTTTTTTTTTACTTATTTGAGATAAATACATATTAAAAAAAAAAAAAAAAGAATATAAAATACAAATTACGTACAATTCATTTAATAATAAAAAAATGATTCATATAATGATAACAGTAAAAATAACTTTATAAATTTTTTTATACTTTTCTTTATAATAAATTTACATATAAATTATTTTATAAATTAAACATTTATAAATTACAATTTAGAAAAGAAAGCAATTTATGTTTTAAAAATTAAATACGAGATATAATTTTACGAGATAATTATATTGCTATCATTAAATAATTTCATTTATAATAATATTTTTAATTTTATTTAATCAATTTAATTCGATTAATTTTAATTTATTACTCATTTGATATTTTTCTTCATGTTATATAATATTTCATTATGTGTTAAAAATATTCACATTATATATCAAAATATATTAAAATTATAGAATCAATTGATTCTATTAATCAATGTACATAAATATATGCAAACAGATATGTACAATTTTTATGTGAATATAATTGTTACTTATATAACGTTCTATAAAAAA